TATGGACTTCTACCAACAAAAATGAGCCCCGGTTAAATATAAATGATTATAATATTGGTCCAATTGTACAGCTTTTTGCTCAAATGTCACCTCCTCTGTGAAACCCTCCTTGATCTCAAAGGCAGGACAGAGTTCCCTCCTCTCTTCTCCTGAAGCACCTAACATTTATGTCTATTAGGGCACTTACCACATGTATTTACATGTTGCAGCTTGCTCACAAGATTGAGAGCCCAGCATTATGTTCTTGAGACCTGACCCAGTAGGAAAGGATTTCTATAGATGAGGAAAGGAGGGAGTGTAGGAAGGAGAATGGAAGGAAACAGGCCAGATGGATCAGATACTTAGCATTACTTACACCAAGGTTCTGAGCTCCTCTTCCTGGCTCTTGGCACGCATTGCTTTCTGTTCACTTTACTAGATTGGTGAACTCTTGTCATCTTCCAACACTGTTCAAAATCACTTCTTTCAGGAAGCCTTCCTCATCCCTCTCCCACCTGCCCCTCAGAAGTTTTTACTCCGTTCACAATTTCATTTATCATCTTTATCATTTGTATCTCCCAGCTAAATTGTGAGCAACTGTAGGCCAACAATTGTCTTTTGTTCCTGTAATTTCTAGGAGGAGTTCCTGACATACAGGCTTAATAAATATTGGTTGAATTAATAAGTTAATGAATAGCAGTCCCTAACGGGTGTCTATCTTAAATTTCAAAAGTTAGTTAAGATTTCCATTTTGAGCATATGGATCATCTAATTATTCACACCAAAGTTTTAACTCTAGGGCTGCTGTCCACCTATTAAGGGAGTTCTGGTTTCTGGGACCTTTCTCATCAGTTACCAAGAGGTCATGGAGTAAAAGTCATTTCCAGACAAACCTCAAAAACAGAATGACTTCAAGGAAAACCTATCAAAGGAGGTTAATTCTTTTCAAATCAAACATAATATGCTTTTTGATTTAAAGTATAATATTCATATCATTTTAAGTGTTTCTATATTTTTTAGTATATGAACTGACATAGAAACAAATGAATTATGGTGAGTGGACATAAAATTTACATAAGATTATTCAGACCTGGCTAGAAGAGACTCTTTGAGGGAACTTTAAGTAGGGTGAATAAGAATAAGAGAGAGAATAAGAGCCAATGAAGGCTAAATAAACAAGGTGGAAGTCATAAAAGGCAGGCAGAAGTTTGTCACCTTATTAGGTTTGGACTTTATCCTATAGGAAATGGGAAGCTCCTTCAAACTTTCATCAGAGAAGCAAGATGTCAGGCAGTGGATATATAAGATATCTATATTTTATATTTAATATAGAGGATGAAGAGGAGACATTCTGAAAGACATTCATGAAGAAATGTCATTTGATGAACAATTCCATATGATGTGCAAGGAAATACCCTTATTACAATGTTTTTACAGAGTTTTTGATAACACAGTTTGAATAACAAACACTTTGTATTTTCTTTACAGCTTGATTGTAATTTTGGTACCGGGTCAAAAGTGTGAATGTTATTACTAGCCACCCCCTTTAAACACAGAAGGGCAGCACTAAAGAACAAAATTGGCCCTCACCAGTTTGGATCAGTGGATAGAGCATAGGCCTAAGGACTGAAGCATCCCAGGTTCGATTCGGTTGCAAGCTCCTGGTGTTGGTAGGGGCTCATGCAGGAGGTAACTAATCAATGTGTTTTGCTCACATTAATATTTCTGTCTTTCCCTCTTTCTTTCACTCTCTCTAAAAATCAGTGGGAAAATATCCTCAGATGAGGATTAAAAAAAACAAAAACAAAACTAATCATGGTGTGATCCTAAGCTGTTATTTCTGACTTATGAGATGCAAAGCATTTCCAATAAACCCAATGAAACTGAATCCTAATCAGGATTATATTTATCACTACTCAGAGATTTATTCTATTTTGCTCCATTGATTGCTTAAATGTTCAGGGAGCATTTAAGAAAGACCTGTGCTAAAACTCTTGATGACATCTGGCACATGGCCATTTATTCAACAATACAAGCGAACACAGGAAAGGGGGTTATGATAAATGATCAAAGTACAAAGCCGCAACATTTATGTTAACAAAAGTTTTAATACAGATTTGACTAAAAGATGCATACAATGAGTACTGAATCTCCATTCATAGGCAGCCTACAAGATTATGAATGAATTTATTAACTTCAGGTTGTGTACTTAAAAAATTACAAGCCATTTAAAAATGAAAATCAACAACAGAAGGAACGATTAGAAAATACGATGGGATGATTTTAAAGAAAGGGTTCAAGTATTGTTTGTAAAGTTCTTCAGACACTAGGCTTTGAAAAGTTTGTGCATTTCCCATCTTTGCATAGTACAGGGGAAACAAAAAAGAAAACCAAAAACACACATACCACTTGGTAAAACTCCGCAACTCTATGTGATTCATGTTTCATAGCGTGCACCTATGTGTACTGCTCATTTATCTAATAGGAGTAGCTCTAAGTGGGCTCATGCAGTATCCTAGGTGAGCAATGAAGTTAGCCTACATTTCCTCATCCATGTGTTGTTCATTAATGCAGCAAACATATAGCGGGTGAGATGGGAACTTGTCATTACTTAACACTAACTCTTGTTGGGTAACATTAAACAGTGATAATGCTTGTGCTTTGAGCTCAACTGAATAACAAGGATTCTTCACACCACAAAAATCAGCAAATGAACAGCATGTGCAAGAGAAAATACAGCAGAGTTGGAAACTACATAACCTAATACCACCGAAAATAACTAGAATCCATTGTTTACGATTGGTATGGTTGCATAATCTTTCATATTCATACACACACACACAGCTTAAAGCTTGTGTATTTTACATATACACACAATTAATTTAACATTGGAGCATAGGTTTAGTTACCTATGAAACTGCCAGTGTAACAAAAAGTTACACAGACATTTGCCATATGTACATAATATTTGGGGACCACTGTGGTCTGATTTAAAACATAACATCGCACATTTACAATGTTGTTTGTGAAATGCTCAAAAGTTAATGATAAAGATTTAACTTGTTTTGTAACCACCATGGTTGTGTTTCTATTAAGTCACGTGGTGCCTCTGGAAGAGCAGTGAAATGTACATGGTAGACTCAGCAGTGGCTGAGAATCCACGAGTGAGTAGGATCCAGCAACAGAGACAGAAATAATGCAGCGACAGGAAGAGATGCCGAGTAATCTGAGTTCCTCGGAGGTGAAAGAGCCATTGCCACTAGGGAAGGGATATGTACAACCTGTGTCTTAAAAAGCCAAGAAGAAGGCTGGTCTACCTTGTAGAGAAAGAACCCTGTTAGCACAATAGACACACACAGCTAGCTCTAGAAGAAGACTGCGTACCTGTGTAGCACCTAGTACTCAGAAAGCAACAGCAAGAGGAAGATGTTAGGTTATGGTCTATTGTAGCAGATAGAAAGTAAAGTTTCTGCTCTAGGACTGCGCTACCTCCAGGATTAAAAATATATGGGAAAGAGGGTGGAGAGGAAGAGTGGAACGGGAGAGAAAAAAAGGGGAAAGAAAGAAAATTATATATATATATGAAAAACTGCACTGTTTTAAGAGCACATTTTGAGGACATAATCCTTTCCAAAGTCAAAGCCAAGGTTGTGAGACTAGTGTCATGAAGCGTGCTGAAAAGGGACTTAAAGCTCACTGCCGTGGTTGTCATGAAGTGAACAGTATAACTGATGTCCTGTTCCTAAAAGGAGGTTGCTAGAGAAGTATGGGTATGTTGGAGCCTCCAGGAAAGCTCATCTCTAGATGGACACTCACTGAATGGATCATGTACACGTTTTACATTCAAAACAAAGCTGGGACCAAGTTTCTCTATTAATGTATATAACACTTGATCAGAAGCGATCATGAGCTTATTTATGGAAGAAGGAACCTCAGTGAAAGTGAACTAAACTCAGAGGGACTTGGGAATCCAGATTACATCTGCAAATCTTCCTGGAGGGAAAAGAAGGTGAATTTGTATGTATAGCAGAACCCTGCTGTGAGCCAGCAGAACTATTCACCGACCGGCAGCACACCGTGGGCCCAACAGGGCTTGTTGAAAACACAACACACAGAAGTAAAGGCTATTCCAGCAGTGCTCACAGGAAGGTGATTGATGTTTCTGTCTCATCACCAGTGTTACAGTGGGGTTCTACCATATATATTTTGAGGCAGGAGGATGAAGCATGAATGAAATATTGATAGTAATAGATATGAATAAAATGGAAAGCTTAACTTTTTCCCAAGCTTTCAACATTGAAAAATTATTATTTTTTTAATTTAAGGCTTTAAGTTTATCCTCCTTTCACATTAAAGACGGGGGGAAAAATTGTCAAAACCAAACACTAACATCATGAGCTTGGCACTTCAGTGATTAATTTGAAAGGGTGTCTACTTTCTTACATTATATACATATGTTTATAATGACAACAAAAAAATTTTAGAGACTTACCAGTACATGTATTTGCATTTACATAATTTTTGGGTTTTTAATGTGGGTTATTTTGTTGTTGTGTGTTCCCCTCATCTTTTATTTTTGGTTTCAAAGCATTTTGTTTGATTCAAACATTTCATTCTTAAATTGCACCTGTTTTGTGCCCAAACTCCTTGCATCTGTGGCCACATCTGTTATTTTTTAAGCAAGCCCAACAATCACTGTACAACATGTTACAAGAGAGAAGGACAGAGACAAAGAAATGGAGAAGAGGAACCAAAAAGATGGGGAGCAAACAATGAACTCAAATTCACAGAGAACCTTCACAAGAAAAATATTTCAATACAGACAAGTGAACAGGATGTGTCAAAATCTCTTATTTCCATATTTACATTTATAAAAGAACTTTACAATAGTATCCACTCTCAAGTCCCAGCTCCCATGTCCCATGGCTGCCTGGTCCAAGAGAAACTGAACGAAAGAATGAATCAAGGAGCGCAGGGAGTTGGTGGCCTGGTCTAGACTAGGGGGCGGGGCCAGGCAGCTTCCTCATGTTCACCTGTCATCTCCACCTTAGGAATTCAGTTGCAGGTTTGGCTGCGGATTGGCTTGCTAGCTGCTTGTGGTAGATATGCCATGCAGATTTTACCCTTTCGAAAATTAGATCTTCATGCCACTGGAGTGTGTCATTGGTAGGAAAAGAGAAAAGAAATCATGCCAGATCATTTAGAAGATATTAAGTGCCAGCAGGCTGAGGAAGAAAAAAAATCATTTGCTATCTTTAATGGTTCATTTATTGCACTTAATTTTTGTTGTTGTTCCTTCTTCCTTTAGAAAAAAAAAAGAGATTCTGAAACAGTTCTTTTTAGAACATTGTCTTTTGCCCCCCTTTTATTGACAGGTGGTGGGAGGAGTTCTTTGAAATGATTTCCAAAAAGGACAGTTTCCTTTGACCTCATCCCGGTCACCCCAACTTGAGTTCTACAGTCATGACCACCCAGTGTTCTTGTTTACAGACTTAACAGTTCCGGCAACATTGCTGAAAGCGTGTCACATCCAGAATCCAACAGTGCGAGGCACCGTTCATCCGCCGCAGCTGATTCAGATGGGGCCTTGCTGACTAGGATCGAACCTCCTCTTCTTGACATTTCTTCCCGAGTGCGTCAAAAGAAGATGCAAGCGGAGGGGGGGAAATCCACAATATTAGTCAGATCATGGTAAGAGGAGGGTGATGATAATGACAACACTAGTTCCAGAGCAAAGTAATCAACTCACACTGAGGCAGATTTTCCAAAATAACTCGAAATTGAAACACAGAACCTCTTATACTTTTGAATGTCTTGACAACATCTCCACTAGAATACATTCATTTGTGAAGATCAAAAGAAGCTTCAAGTTGTTCCTTTGAAATCACTGGAAGTCTCAGGAGCCCAATTTGTCTCTTATTTCAGAAGTAACTGACATAGCTAATTGTAGCTGGATCAAAATAATTATAGGGAGGGCTCTTCCATTTCGGGGGCTATTAGAACTCTGAAGGTCTTGTAGCTGATTCCTTCCAGACCTGCGAGTTCAGTATCAGTCCATCAGCCTTTGCCAAGATGGCAAAACGCCTCATTCTACTCAGTGATTGTGCTGCCTTGGCTGTGTGAGTTCTTACCACACTGTGGAACAAGCATTTTTCATGTCTAGAAAGTTGATCAGAGTGCACAGGGAGATAGTACACTCTGAGGAGAATGGACACAGGCTCAGGTTAGTTAAGCAAATGCAGCAGATTAGCTTAGTTGAAAGGAACATTAAAATGCCTCGCTCACAGTGTCCAGTCTCCTAAAAAGTGGTTCTGATGTTTCAAAAGAGAAAAGAAAGAACCAGCAAGACACTTGTACAAGGCAACAAGAGTTGGCTGCAACCTCCCCATGGTCTGGTTTCATGTGGGGCATCAAGCAAGGAGGCTCATGCATTTAATCTGCGCACTGGGCGGGTGCAATGCTGCTGCCACCGAGGCATCATGCAAAACTGGAGACCGAGGAGTCCCCAGGAGCTCTCGTTCCCCTGCCCACTCACTCGGGGCAGCTGGATGCCCGTACAGCCCTAAGTACCAAAGGGATTACAGTATATTCCTCCTCGCCTCTAGGTAATTAAAAATAAAAACAACGCCAAAGTCCAAAGTTGATCCTGCAAAGTTCTTATTCTCCCCAAGATGACCACTTTGATGCTTCTTTTTTGAACTATCACATATGAAAATCTTTAAAGAAAATTTTCCTTTTCTTTTTGAAAGGTTTCATTAAAACATCTTTAATGGCCTAAGGACGTGGTTCATTGTTCTAGCAGGTAATCCATTGCAACAAACACTATTTGCAACAGTGCTACTTCCTTTTCTTCCCTATCACCCACCACATTACAACCCTCCTTTGAATCAATATTCTTGAAAGCATGCATTGCTGATGCTGCCCCAGAAATAGAGATGAGACCAAGAGGGACATCTCCCATAATGCATCTGTCTCTGAGTTTGCTCCAGAGCACAGGATGTGCATCTACTATCCATGATCATAGTCCTTGAAGGTAACTACATTAGGAACCACACTTCCAGTGAGTCAGGTGGGGGAAAACAGGGACTGCTTGACCTTGTAAAATGATCCTGAAGGACTACTAGTTAGATATGTGTTACTGGAACTCAAGAGAAATGTTAAACTAATGTCTTCTCAATTAAAATGAGTGTAAAGATCAAGCCAACTAGCGCTATGCATGTAAATGACTATATTGCACACATCTAAATTCCTTTATTCAAATGCAGGGGATGTCAGGTGAACAGTCATGTCCAAGGTCATAACTACAATCCAATTCACTTTTAAATGGAGATATAAAATCCCACTTCAGCGTGACATAGAGGCAACCTCTGTGCTTCTTCTAAAAGTCAGTTTTTGAAGCTTAAATTGCATTTTTTTTAAATAGAAACAATGTTCAACAGGATGACTGGGTTCCCGGGCTGACCAGGAGGCTAAACCATGCTGTAGAACCATGTACTTATCAGAAAATAGCTTCTGAATACCAACAGGGGGTTCTGGGACTGTATTTCCTCCCCGATGAGGATGAAAGGGACACTCCCATGGCAGGCTCACCGTGAGGGTACCTCACATGTAAGCTGTAACCATATGGGCCACTGTACATTGACAACTGCTTGTCCTGAACTTTCTATATCTAAGTCTTTTTGTTCAATTTCAATGTGAGAGCACAGCTACCGTAGGCATGTGCGTGTTGTTTTCCTTCCATGACTGTCTCACCTGAATATTCTCTGTTCACTAGGACTGTGAGGCAATTAACTTTCTCATCATAACCCATAAGGTATTTCTGGATCATTATAAAATACTAGAGGCCTGGCACATGAAAATCGTGCATGGAGGGGGGGAAGGTTGTCCCTCAGTCCAGCCTGCACTCTCTCCAATCTGGTACCCCTTGGGGGATGTCTGACTGCTGGTTTAGGCCCGATCCTAAACCAGCAGTCGGACATCCCTCTCACAATCTGGGACTGTTGGCTCCCAACCACTCGCCTGCCTGCCTGCCTGATTGCCCCTAACCAATTCTGCCTGCCAGCCTGATCACCCCCTAACCACTCCCCTGCCAGCCTGATTGACACCTAACTGCTCCCCTGCCGGCCCAGTCACCTCCAACTGCCCTCCCCTGCCTGCCTGGTTGCCCCTAACTGCCCTCCCCTGCAGGCCTGGTCACCCATAACTGCCCTCCCTGCTGGCCATCTTGTGGCTGTGGGCATTGCCATCTTTGAGGGTGTGGCAGTCAATTAGCATATTCCCTCCTTATTGGCTGTGGGTGCCGCCATCTTTGCAGCCTGCTGCTTAGTCTTTTGTTTGTCCCTCACTAATCCCCCTGCTGGCTTGGTCGCCCCACACAGAATGCTGTTCAGTAGTTTGGTCGTCCCTCACTAACCCCCCTGCCGGCCTGGTCGCCCCATGGAGCCCGTTGAGTTGTCCATTCCATTGTGATGGTCGCTTAGGCTTTTATATATATAGATTACCATAAAGCACAAACCTTGCATTGATCTCATTTTTATTAACTTTTACTAGTTCTGAAAAACCTGTACTTTTGTCCACAATATATAGTATACACACATATATGTATACAAAATTAAAACAACTCTTCAGGTAACAACAACCATCTCAGATTGTAAAGACTTTAGATCTTTCAAGGGTATATTGATCCACTGCTATCACCTTCTTATCTCTCCACAATGAGTCTTGCCCGCCCACCAAAAACCCCTCACTTCACCCTTTCTAGGCGACCTTAGACTGAGTTCACTTCCCCAGGGGTGAAGTCAGGGGGCTGAACTCAGTCTTCCTGGCAACCTGAGTGAGAAACTGCCTAACACAGGAGCAGCAGGCACTGGGGGAATTTTGCATTGGGATCCGGTCATGGAATTCGGAAAAGCAGCAAGTCTGGTTATGCTCCTCATGGGAAGAGTGGGTAACATTGATCCCATTTCCTAACTCTGCAAAACCCAAAAGCAAATTTTAAAAAAGACATGTATTCTTTTGAGAAAATATAATTAGCAATATTAAATTCCTTTCCAATTTCATCCAACTTGACATTCAAACAATTCAGTTAACTTCCCTTGTATTCATCCAGATGGGTCCTTTAAGTTTTCATTTATGTGAGTACCTAAACAGTCTGTGCTTCACCGTGGCCAGTGAAGTAAAACAGGTCAAATGGAACTGCTTACAAAGTCAGGCTCCATAAGAATGTGCAACCCAAGAAACTTCTCATAGAGGAAAAATCACATATGATAATTACACTTATTAAATGAACTACTTTAATGTCAAGAGCAGCTCTGCCAGGCCAGTATGGCCACTGCTGTCACTGAACCCCGTGGGGAGAGCAAGTAGTGGGACAGTGAGACATGGTGAGGGGGTTCCACAGACTGAAACATTACGGTATAGTTGGAAGAGCCCAACCCTCATCCTAAAATCTTGCGATTTGCATTGTCACCAAACTATGTCACTGTTACCTACCTTCAAGTAATTTTCCTACCATCACCTAGAATTTCTCTTTCCTACTACCATCAACTATGGCGTTCATATATTTTATGTGCATGTAAACAACCATACCTCACATCAAGTTTTCTGCATTCAGATTTAGGGATTGGCAGTTAAAAAGCCACGTGCAAGGTAATGACAGCAATTCTGTTCATTTTAAATAGAGATATGAAATGTTCTTTTCATATAATTGTCACCTTTCCTAAGTTTTAGAGAAGATGCTACTAAAATGACCCTTCATCTACATGATTTTTCCCAAAATCTAATAAAAGCAACAGCTCTAGTGATCTAATCAAGTAAATTATTACACAACATTGGATAGAAGCCCCAAGTCCCCATGAGTCAGGACAGAGTTTGCAATCCTCTGCACCACTGTATCAGGCTGTGTGTGTAGGTGAAGGAGAGGATAAGGAGCATGGGGTGAGGGTAAATAAATGAAGATGTGGGGAAATGTTGGACAAGTCGGTGTGCCAAGAGCCTAGATTTATTTCTGCACAGGATGTCTCAGAGGAAAATTCTAAGACCCAAAAGACTGGAAATCCATAGACTAAACCATCCCTTAGAAACCTCATACTTTTAGAGTATGAAATTAACTAAAGTTACTAAGGTATATATCTACCACATTGCCCAATAGATCAGGATATGTCAAATACAATAACCTACCAAATAAAGCATTTTTTTCCTTTTCAGGAAGTCTTATTTTCATTAAGCAAAGCTTTCAGACTCTATGACTCTGCTAAGAAGTAATATAAATTTATATTATTTTTTTACCACAATAATCTTGACAAATCTTCATTATCACCTTACAAACACAAATGTACCTATATTCACACATGCATCACACTCACATGCACGCTTGCTTTTTACCACCTATTTCAGAGGAAATATGGTTTAAGTGGAAAAAACTATAAAAAATGGCAGTGTGTCAGGGGTCAAAGCATTGCTGTATTTCTCATTTGTACTTGAATGGGTCAGGTATGGCTGACCCTCCTTCCACATCTACGTTACTCACGGTGTTCTGCCCAAAGACACGTGACGTTAGGGAAAAGCCGCACTTCCCCTGAGCAGTTCATACTTTTGGAAGTTTGTGTGCCCTCCAATTCTGCAGGTTACTTTGTTAATGGCTCTTCTAGCAATAAAAACCTGATTCAGGAGGGGTGTCCAATAAAGGTATTTAGAGCAATCTTTCTTACAAACTATTTTTTCAACTTCTGCTTCTAAAGGGAACCTCTCTAGTATTTTCATTGAACTCAATGAAAAACTCTAAGGCTTTCAGTTCAACTAGCAAATAATACTACTTCCAAAGCATGTCTACATTAATCATCTCCCAAACTGCCCAGGTGGTGAGAAAACCTAAACTTGATCATTCAGCACCCACAGTCTTTTACTGTAAAGTAGTAGATCTTTCATGTCGAATATAAACCACGTAGCTACTATTAAAGTCGAAAGCAAATTCAGATCCTCATGTAGCCACCAACAGCACGAAAAGCAGCAGCTTCTCCACATCTAAACTCCTAAAGTGACTTCACTCCTTCACTTTTTTTTTCAGAACATAAAAAATTTACTTCACACTGTTCTACAATGTTTTTCTTTATTAAGGTTGTAGGGCACGGGAAGGGACATTGACCTAACACAGCGGTACACACCCGTGCAGCAATCCCACAGCTGTTTCTCACCTCACCCAATGCCCATCTCCCCACCCACCCTTTCTGTTAGGTTGATTAGACATCTCTCTCAGATTTAATTAATCTAAACAGGGCCTAATCCACTTATATACACAGTGATAAAAAGGCTTTTCTGTTTTTTCCCCAAAGAAACATGCAATTCAAGCTGTGAGCTAGGCCAAGCCGCCGTTTTGAGGTCCTGCTACAGAATTGTGCTCTTATCTCCAAATGTTGAGATGGGAAATTGGGTATTGCTTGCGGCTGGATGGCAAAGATGTACAGGAGGCTGTTTTCCAAGCCATGGAAACTGAGGCTTCCTCATGCCAGAGGCATAAGCCTGAGCATGAGCCAAATTTCTTTTCCTTGAGGGATATTTAAATGGGGGCATTATAAACTAATGGATCATGGAACAACTGTCATGTACAGTGACTTGTTTATAGTAAGTAACAAGGCACTAAGAAATATTTGCTTGAATTAGACCAGTCCAAACAAAAACATGTTATTCTGTCATGTGCCACATGAGTGACTCAGTATCTGGGCAATGTCTGGTAATATTGTGATGAGAAATTCAAACATGAGTTGCCCATTGGGAGTGCGTTTTTGAAAACACATTGATGCCAAAACTAATGTTCCATCAAACAAGTTCAAGTTTATAAATCTCTCTGTGGAAAAGAAGTACTATTTGGTAACAGCTTTCCAAGTTGAAGACTCAAAAACTTGTAGGCTTGAATTAATTTAAATCATCTTTTGGTTTTTCTTTCATAATTAATTTCTAATAATAGCATTTTAACTGGTTTAAATACACAGAATTCAGGATACCAGATATAAAACTTCCTAATTAAGGCAATTATTCAGACAATTCAGGTCAAAAGCTTCCTCAATTGTGTAACCAGATGAAGGCAAAGTGGGCTTTGAATTTGGTCTTATTTCCCACTTAAATTTGTTTCTATAGATCTGGTTGAAATGTAATTTATCACAAGGAATACTTCGCATAAGAGGTCTTATTTACAAATCATGAGTCACCACAGCACGAAAAGCTATAGAAAGCAATTACCCAATGAATCTGAGGTATAGAAATATCCAAACTGAATAAATTAGGTTTGAAATTTTGGATTATTTGTGATTATCTGGCACATCTATTTAAATGAACTTAGTTCCGTGATCAATGTACAATCCAAACTAAAAGGGTACTATGAAGACACACCAGGCCTACCAGTCACACCAACATTTGCAGTTAATTAGAAAATATTATCACAAAACCATAGACTTTAAATTCCAACGTGAAACCAATTCAGTTGGTTAGAGAATTAATGAAAATAGTTTTGAAAATCTGTTTTTATAAAATAATGAAGCTTTTAAAATCATAAAGCTACATACAATACATGTGAAAAATGATGAACAAATGGTTACTTGGGGTGTGAAATGTTCAAAATGTCAATGGACTATAAACCAGTTTTAAACAGAAACAAGGAGTTTATGTCCACCATTTCCAACTGCACAGTTTCCTCACAGACCTGTGTATTAAGAAACGTCTCTCAGATTGTTGCCCCTAAAAGCTGACTGTCTTCTGTTAAAGAACTCCCACTTCTTCTCTTCAACCCAGTGCATGTGAGTTCCTTTCACATTTGTGTTTCCCCACTTGCCTGAAGATGACATTGGTGTTTCCATGTTTCTTCTTTTCTGACCCGTTTGTGAATGAGATATTTTTCTCAGTCTTACTGTTAAAACTTGTAGCAGGAACTCAAAACTTGGTTATGTAAGCAGAAAAGAGAAGTGCCAGAGCCACTGAGAAGAAGGCATGCGGCGTTGCTTACTTAAATCCCCATCCTGTGCCCCCAAGGACAATAGCTGCTACCAGGATGGCACCAGCGATGGAGCCTATTATGAGATTGGTGGCACTAGGACCTGTGACAAAGGATCATGGGAAGAAAGTCATATGAGCCAACCACTTTCGTTACCACCAGGGAAAGGCAGTTGAGCGGTTTCAGGAAGTCAAAACCCTGCATGAAAGATTGCGAAACACATAAATCACCTTTTTGACTTAGCTTAATTTCACTTTCCACGCTGCGGATAACTGCTGGGGTTTGAATGCCTTTACATCTGCAGCTTCTGCACCACTGACAATGAAGTTCCATTAAATCCACCTTCCGCAGAATTTGAAGCAAATAGGCGCCAATTGCTGTCATTACACGTCTTTCTTCTCCTCCCCCTTCCCAATTCCATGAATCAAACAAGTAAGAGTGCATAAAGAACGCGGCTGCATTAGAATGAGCTCAATCTGCTGGCAAACGAGGGCATGAAAAGCAGGAAACATCCCACTGAAGTGTTCTTTCAAGCAGCACATGAAGTTGTCTGAATGCTACATGTTTTATGCCCCCCTGGGAGACGGTTAAAATTCAGAAGTCAGAAGGAGGTTACCAATAAAGATCTGACTTGGAAGTCTTGTTCTCAAAGACATATTTCTTAACTGCACAGACCCAGGCAGTGTTTAAGCAGCAGGATGGGCTTCCAAAGGCAAGATATAAAAAAAAAGTATAAAACTCATTGGGGTAATTTTGGGGAAATGGAAAAAAGTGGAGTTTCAACTGTTTGAGGGAGAGTTGGTAATATAGTGTATTCTCTCCACTCACCTGGAAAAAACCTGGTCTCACTCTTTTTAAATGTAAGCAACCTTCACTTCAGTATGAGAATTACTTTAAGTATCACATCGTACAGGATGCTAATATGCAAGTACAGCGCCCCCTAACAGCAAAATACTTTCTGTCCTAATTTTATGCCCCTGTTCCCAAGGTCACAGGGCCCATTTTGCTAGCTCCCCTGAAACCCTCGGGTCTGTGTGCGCCTTCATTGCTGTGTCAAAGATTCTCTTTTCTGCTCACATCAGTGCCCTCGACTGTGTACATAAATGGATGCCACTTTCAGCAGCACTGAAATTGTGTGCCGCATGGTGTTTTTACTCAGAGACCATCCGCGAGGAAAGGCAGATGGGGGTTACAATGGGCATCTCAGGGAGAGGTCTCTTGGGGCTCCCGGGTTTGGACACACCCTTAAGACTAACCACTGAGGTTCTACAGAACACAAATCTCAGTGGCCTTTAGTGAAATGGCCATAATAATAAATAATAATGAGGCCGCAAAAGCTGGTTAACTACTATTCACTGTCCTGACGATGGGGGTGCACTTTTAAGCACTTGGCATTATTATCTCATCTGATCCTCACCAAACCCTAAGAGGTAGGGACTATGACTACCCCTGATTAACAGATGGAGAAATAGAGGCTTCTAGAAGTCAACACATGACAGAGGCAAGATTTGAACCCAGATGTGTTTGACTCTAAAGCTTATGGGATACAGAAAGGGGCAGCAAAATATATCCCACGAGCCAAATCTGGCCCCTGCTGACTGTTTTTTTCAAAGAAGCTTTATTGGGACACAGCCAATTCATCCCCATGCAGTTTACAGCTGCTTTTAGGCTAAGACAGCAGAGTCGCAAGGTTGTGACAGATATCCTGTCGCCCACAAAGCCAAAACTATTTACCATCTGCCCTGTTACAGAGTTTGCTAACCCCTCCACGAAAGCAACATTATTCCATGTATACGTGTTTCCTCCGCAAAGCTTAATAGGGACTCAAATTTTAAAACACTTAAAAATATTTATATTACCATGTACAGAATGTATGCTTTAGACACGATTTGCACCTTCCTGGCTCAGAAAACAGGCTGGAATTACAATCAGTACATAACCCCTGAGAATTAATTCCTGATCTACAATGATAAACTAAGGAGTAGAAACAAAAGCAAAACAAAACAAGGCCTCTGTCCTTGGAATCCTTAGTGACAAAATGACATTACACTGCCAGTCAAACTAGGAGGCATTAAAACTACATGTACTATGTGGATTTGATTTTATTTTTTAACTAGTATTTTCTATTTACTAAATTTAACTGTATTTACTATTTTAGCAACTCTGGCAAAATTTAGAATTTAAAGGGAAAAAATCAGTAAGCTAATAGACAACAACAGCGTATACACCAAGAATAACATCTATTTTTAGAAAAAATGTATATACACGTATAAAGACTTACCTGTCACAACCAGAAATAGCCACAAACCAACAACACTGGAAGGGAAGGAGGACAAGGACTGTGCCTTACAACAAAGCTCCCAGATCCCACCTAGCTCTAAGACTCAAAGGGAACATTATTAAAGTTCATCCCTTCAGTTAGCACAGTCAATAAATTACATTTTTTAAAAAAAATGGATTTGGAATGGTTTTTTAAGAAAACGACCTTTCTTCCCAGGAGGAATTTCACATAAATGTGTGTGTGGAATTTCCCCTGGAAAGGAATGTTGCTTCTGTATCTAATCCAGTCAACAGACCCACAGTGGAATTTTATAGAAGTTCGTTTTCTAGAAATATTTTACTTCACAAATACTTTATTTTCTAACAGAGATGGAGAAACAAACTATTTTTTCAAGTACTTCTAGCTTCCCCGGGGTTACTAGCTTCACAGTCCATACTGATGGGATGTGAATTACATGATCCACGTCTAGCCAAAGCCCTTCAACCCAGGTGAGATTTAGGGAATCGACACTGCCTGTGACCTACGGACCTCCCTCTTCATGCTATTTCTTCCCAGCCCTGGGCCTCCCAGACCCAGTCTGAAAGGAGAACAGCTGTGTGCTGCCACCAATGGGACTAAGGGACAATGAGTGGTGTTCTCAACGTGCCTATCGTTTGGGCTGATTGCGTGGAGGTTACCTGGCGATTCCTTAAGATCCTAGCAATTTGTTCCTGGGCCACTGTGAAGTGTTAACATCACCACAGTGAGCAGAAAAGACAGCATGCGGAGTATTTTTGTAATTTGCAAATGCTCTCTCTCTGAAATTAGAGGGGGAAAATCACAATATCACAATAATCTTTTAGTCTACATGTACACTGGCAATCTCATGAAAGCAGTAGCCCCTGGAGAACTGACAGCTATTCTGAGGATATAGATCAAGTAAGTGCAGAGCAACCTAAATAGAGGCGCCACGAGAGCTCAATGGCAAGTGCATGCAGGCCACGTATTTATACTCTGGCTCCTCAAAAGACAAACCCACCAGGTAATTTGCAACTGCTCCCTTAAAGTTTTGCAAGTTTGGATTAAATATCTCTTCATTCTTAATGCTGTTTGCTCCAAAATATTTATGTAAACATCAAATTGGAATTATTAACCTATTTTATTTAAAAAGAGGCGATGTGCTAAATACCTTCTTTGTAAAGACAAGCTGAAGCTTCCTTTAGCATTCTCAATCAACGGAGAAAATATTAGCGGCTATCATTCAGATTACCCTTAAAAAAGAGCTACAACTGTTGGTAATTCCTAATTGTATAGGTGAATCTATCTGACTGGTGATGATTTGTCATAAGAGTCCTAATAAAACACTTCTATGAAAGCATTTTTGCCAATAAATAGTAAAAAAAAAAAAAAAAAGGTCTGTATCTTAGCATTACTTTTCAAGTGGAGGAGCAATGGAAGCTTTTGGACCGTCCTCCACGGCGAAGACATCAGCACCCAGGATTATGTCATGCCCCACATTGTCCAGACAGGAGAAGGTTCTCCACCACACGAGAAAACCGCACGACACAAACACGTCCAAGTCACAGCACAAGGAGCACCACCACGGGCAACACATCAACGAGACGACACGGGGGAGTCAGGGGTCGAGGGTCAGCTCACACACCGGGAACCAAACGGAAACACTCTAAGACTCAAAAAGATGCTTACTCTATGCCCCACCCCGTGCCTCCAAAAATCACCCCCAGGGCCAGAATGGTGCCGGCCACAGCACCTATTAGCCTGCTTGTGGCCAGGTTCACTGTGTGGAGGGAAAAACGGAGATATTTTTTAAACAAAAAAAAAATTTGATCACACACTGATTTCACTAACGTACAAAATCACCTATTCAGGAAACGCTTTGAAAGTCAGTCATATATTAAAATTTTTTTGCTTATTAAGCTCTACATACACACCGAAAATATTCAAAGATAATCTTGTATTTACTTTCCAACTCCAAAAACTCTAGTTAAAAACATAATGTCTTACACTTTTAAACAAAGAAATAATCCAGCTGGAGTTACAGTTCCTAGAAGGAGTGAAGTGAAATTAAAATGTAATTTAAACTGCCGAGCAACAAATCTGTTTTTTAATTCAAAAGTTATAAACCATTAGTGGACTTAAAAAAAAATCCTCAAAGTATAAAATATGCCTAAGAAGCTATATTTTTTTAAAAAATCCAAAACTTACTCAATTCTGTGGAAATCCTTACAAGTTTAAAAAGAGAGTAGCTTTAAAATTAAATGCATTGTTACCCGGGGAGTTATTTTACCTGGAAAAGTATATTTCAAATAACTCTGCAATGTTTGTGTTTCTGCCACAGTATTTGGACATTTAGATTTTTGTTGATAGTCTGCATTGTATAGACTTTGCACTGAGAGAAAGTCAGGGGCTCTGGGAAAGTATATTCATTGCTTCAAACTATGGAGCGGTAAATCACTGAGGAGACACGCCATGCCTGCACACCCCTGCTTCTGCGTACGGCTTTTGTTGCAAAGTGGGACTGGAATGAGGCCAAGTTCCCAAGGCAAGAAGTTGTTTAGTATTGAAGTAAGAAGGCAGAATGTTTATGTTTGAGTGTGTCTGTGCATCTGTATGTGCGTGCAAACGGGACATATAAGCACTTTATCCCACATTCCAAGGGAATGAAAAGTACTGGCTTCCTACCACTTCACCGATGGAAACAGAGATTAGCTTTCACAAGGCTGCACTCACACAGACTGTGCCATGAGACGCGGTGAAACAAGCTAAGAACCACAACAGGAAGTTGCAAGTTCTTACTAGTAAGGCTTAATATTGGGATCTAA